GCCCCCAGGCTATATTGCCTTCCTGGCATGTTGCGCGCCCATTTTATGCTCCAACTGGCTTGACCGGCCCGGGCGCAACTCAACGCCCCCCGGGCTCCGGAACGCCCCGAGGGAGAGAGCGGAAGAGAGTCCGGCGCGATCAGCGAGCGCGCCGGGCGAGGGGAGCCCGCCTCTTTCCGGGCCGGGGAGCCGGGGAGCCGGGGAGCCGGGGAGCCCGGGAGCCGGGGAGCCCGGGAGCCGGGGGGGGGGGGGGGGGGGGGGCGAGGACCTACCGCGCGCCGGAAAGAGGGTTGGCACGCAACCTCCATCTCGGGCGGTCCACCGGGCGGTGTGACCGGTCTCGCACTCAGACATGTGATGTGGCTCCTGTGACGCGGCACATGATCTCAGACGGCGCCGCCGGCCGCGGGCAGCATGCGTCCTCCCGCCGAGGCGACATTAATTCCCCGCCGGAGGGCGGTGGCCGCCGACGCCGGAGCCGGGGCTCCCCGTGACAGAGGTGATGTCATCTCGCCCCACCCCCCCCCCTCGAGGGGCCTCCCCGACGGTGCGCGCGCGCGCGTGCGTGCGTGCGTACCTGGGCAACGCCGTGCATCCGCCCGCAACGCGGGAGGCCCCCCTGCGCCCCGGCTCCCGAGCTGCCCCCGCCCTCTCCACCCTCGAACGCGGCCATCCGGCGGCCCCGCTGCGCGCCGCCCCCTCCCGGACGCACGCACGCATGTGCATCTTTCCTCATTGATGCCTGTGTGCGTCGGCAGGGGGGCCGGGGGCGGGGGCGACCCCGCCGCGCGACAATAGTGGCACCTCCGCGCTCGGGGCCATGGCAGGCGACGACGCCCACAATCGGCTCTGGCGTGACGCGCACGTGACCACGCGGGGGCCGTCATTTGACCTGCCCCAATCGCGACCGCATCCCAGCGGACTTCCCGGGCGGCGCGGGGGCGCGGGGGGTGTTGCCGGCCAAGGCGCGACGGCGCCGAAAGTGGAGGGGTCGACATTAATCCGCTTCGTGGGGGGGGGGGGGGCGCCGCAACAGGCGCTGCCCCCCCCCCCCCGTCTCTTTGCCGGGCCGCCGGACACCGCGCAGGAGGCGCCCCCTTTGTGGGCGGGCCCACCCGAGGAGACGGAGGCGGGCATGGAGACGACACATCCCCCCCCCCCATCGATTGGGACTTGGGGCCCAGGCATCCGGAACCGCCGATCGTGTCGCCTTCTCCCTCCCCCGGGGCAGCCGGGAGCCGAAGCGGAGCTCTCCCGGCGCCGGCGCCCCCATCGCCGCCGCCACGGCCGATGACCGCCGCGCGTCGGACCGGCCCGGCGGGGCAAATTAATTTTCCTGGAGCGCGCGCGCGCGTGCGTACGTGCGCGTCCGCCCCCTTTCTGCTGCCTCCCCGGGAGCCCGTCGCGGCCGGGCACGCTCCGCCTCCCACGCCCGAGATGTGGGTTGGCAAGTGCGCGTCCTCCGTTGGGGGTCTTCCACGCCCCCCGGCCCCCGCGCCCCGGTTGGCCGGCGGCCCGGCGAGCCGACGCCGTAGAGATAGGCTCAGACCGGGGGGGGGGGAGGGGGACGACACCCGGAGGCCGGGCCCCTTGCCGCCCGGCCGCCCGGCAAGATCGCGCGCCGGAGAAAACGCCGCGCGCCGGACACGCCCACCCCGGAGCGCCCGCTACGTGTTCCTCCCTCTTCCCGTCTCCCTCCTCCCTCCCTCCCTTCGCCGCCAGCCTCCTCTCTTTTGCCCCTCCCGCCCCCTCTCCCGCCCCCTGCCCCCTCCACATATGTGCCCCACGCGCGCCGGAGGGACGAGCCAACCCACTCCTGCTCCCAGCGTGTAGTAGGCCCGCGCCTCCCGCCTCTGCCCCGTGCG